GCTTGACATTTGTGTGAATATACCGGGTGTTTGCCGCGGTAGTTTGGACAGCATAGTGCATTTGTCATTCATACGATTTGTGATTTTGTCCGCAGTTTGGACAGATAGTGGATATTTGTTGGTATTCTGTGTTGTATTCTTCCTTTCCTATTACTATTGTGTGCACTATCTTTTTATAACCTATAACAATACCAGCAATTCTATTAATCTTGTACAGCGGCGTATAAAGTAGATTCCTTAAGATATTTCCTGAACCATAAAACTTAAATTAATACATTTTTGAGTAACTATCTTCCAAGAGATTTTTAATAAACTACGGTTTTTTCCTTTAATATCGTGTATAAAGGAGTTTATTTTTTGAGTTTTTACGATTTTCCATATTTGTGGAAATTGTTTGCGATTGCTTAGGGCAAAACGAACAGAGATTTACCACATTGTATAGGGAAAATAGAATAAAAGACATCAAGTAAGGGAATTATTTTCAGTAACAATTTCAAATATGAAGATTTGTCGAATTCTTGATTAATCTTGCATATTTATAAATCACATATATTAAACAGTGTAGGTACATGCAATTTATACGAAATAATCTGCCAAAGAAGTTTTTATATCATTATAAGTAACATTAAGAAATGAGTTACTAATTAAAAACACAATTCACGTCTAAAATTTTACTAGAACAACGTACATAAAAGTTATATCTGCATGTATAACAATAACCTAATATGTACACACAAATTTGATAATAATAGTAAAAATATTAAAACTAATAATAAATAAAAGTAAAACCTCACATTTTACAGCACTCTTGATGCTTAATTTTTAAAACAACCAATATACTATACAAATTCGGTGAGTTATGTCATAATTTATTAGTGTATTAATCAAATTGAAATCGATAATTGATTTCACTGTAAGTGGAGTCACTTATTTAATTATAAGAAGGTATTGTTAATAATGCTTTTAACAACATATTTAGTGTAAAATCGGTTAATAGAGATAGACAGTACTTAAACAAATATAAATCATTACATCTTATGGACATTATGATTCGTTAAATTGGCGGGAAACGCTCCATGGCAATAATGACCAAAGAAAATAATTAAAAATAACTCAAATATTATTTTCTTTTATTATATTTACAACCTTTTATAAGTAACTTATATTTTGAGGCTATTCATTTCATGCTTTTCTTAATATTTTATTTCTGAGTAAATATTTTAAAGATGGGGGCAAAAAATAATAAAATACCATAGGGAAAGTTGTGTCCAATAAACGCCCTTTATGTTCAAAAACATTACACGTTTTTAGCATATTCAAGTAGCCTATACCTGCTATTGTGATTAATTTGTCTTCAGTTAAAACTATATCATACTATAACCATAATCTTCTCCCATTCATATGATGCGCTGATCTCTAAACCTCGAGTCTCGTATAGTGGCTTTCTACGGCCTTTGTTTTTATCCATACCTTAAACTGAGACCAGCTTAGCGTGAGAATTTTTTTATATTCTCGCTCTAGAGATAGCAAGTTAAAGTCTAATAAATGGTGCGACTTCATTGCCACATTATCAATTTTTGACACATTGGTTCGACTTGGTCGATTTAAATAACTCAACTTTATGAAATTAAGTAGTGTCAAAACACTAGTGACTAGTATCTATATCATACTGAATCGAGTTCATCAGTGCCTGAAATATGTGTTCTTTACAGGTCACATTTCAATCACAATTGTTCAATCATGTTGCAATTTGATCGAAAATTAGGTAAAGGAACTCTTGATTTCTTATTATCTGCATGAAACATTGACAGATATAAGCATTAACTTCCTGTCATATGATCAAAATTGTTATGCAAATACTGCTACGTCGGGCAATTTTTAGCGGGATTTCACCACTTCATGTAACAGCATCAGACATGCCATAATACATCAACAACAATGTTTCTACATGATATTCCCTGATTTCTATACACACTGTATAATAGTAATTTACTACCAATGTTACTCATTAGTACTGCTTAAATTTCCTATAAACATCCCTGCAAAATATTCACTAGCTGCCGAAAGTACTACATGTTTACTTGCATTGTTTCCAATTGGATCCTATAATGTGGTTAACTTTCAACTTTAAAATAGTTTTTCAAACATGCAAAACTATGACATCTACACCTTACATCTAAAACGTTCTGATTAGGTAGAAGACAAGATAAATGATTTTTATCTGTTATAACCTAACAGTCAGATATGTCAAAAAATATAACTGGTACAGCAGTCTTGGGAGCAAAACTGTACGTGGTAGCATTTTGTGTCAAAACAGTCGACAGTTACAATTGGCATACCGATAAATGGAATATGATGTGTTTGTTAACAAAAATACCAGGTAGTACGATATACGCCAAAATATACAGTACTGGTTTTCGCGCAGTCCGCATGCGCATGCCTGTGCATCACTATATTGTTGCATCGCCATAAGTTTAATCGCGGAACAATATCGTGAACTCTTTAATAAGCCAATACCAAGCCACACAGTTGTGCTCTAGTAGGCCAGTAACTGTGTCAACCAAGTAAAATCATGGACGCGTACTTAATCAGGTGTTGTGTCACCAAAGCGAAGTCTTCGACAACCAGTCCTGACATTAAACATCAGAAATACGCCACCTCGACGACTGTGGCAGATAACCAGACGTCCAGTACTGCCGACTCAATGCGAAGACGTAGATGGTGCCAAAGTCAGGAACGGAGCGAATAATAAGAAGACTTTTATCGATCGAAAAATAATCTAAAATAATTGTAGCACTGTTTTGCTTGGAGTTTTAATCGATAAAGAAACCGAGAAGGTAATATTAATACTATGTTAAACTAATCAAGATTCACACTCAACTAGAGCATTCATCTTGAGCATCAATTTTCGGTAAATGTTTAATGTTTAATCGATTATTTAATTTGACCAAAATTAGTTATCACGATTAATTTAATATTATTCTGAGATGTTAGTTATGAAAACTAAATTTTATTTTAAATATTATAGGTGATTCAAGGATAAGTTGCAAACAGTGCGAGGCAATGCACGAGGCATTGCCTCGCCAATTAAAGGCGGGTAAAAAGCCCAAAAAAATAGGCGGGTAAAAAGCCCAAAACATACCAAATTTTTGCAGTAGGATGGATCTCAATCAAACTTTTTGCATTCGATTCGTATGAGTGTTAGAAAATTTTGTGAACAAAAATGATGATGTGGAAATGAGCATTGCATATTATTGAACAAGGAAAATGCATTTTCCAGAGTACATTTTGAAGTTTTGAAAAACGATACATTTTTAATTCGGAAATAATTAACGGAAATGAATTCAGTTTTTTTAAATGAGTTTATTACACGGGGGTTTTGGGGCCACTGAACACGAATATCATGATAACGATGGTCTCTGAGATACCTGGTACGTCTCTTGGAGTTTTGTGAAAATTCGATACTAAATTCGTACAAATTCGTTATTCGGGAGTTTTTGGGATCGCTGATAACGAATATCAGGGTGGTGCCCAGGAGGGATCTCGTCTCCTGGAGTTTTGTGAAAATGTTATACAAAATCATTGCAAACTCGTTACTCGGTTGTTTTTGTGGCCGCGGAACACTAATATTATGTCGGCGATGGTCTTTGTGGCACCTGGTACCCACAACTGGCCTCTTCTCCTTTAGTTTTATAGAAAATCAGTGTACACTCGTTACTCTGACTTTTTTGGGACCGCTGATCACGAATATTATGACGGTGATGGTCCCCGATGCCCCTAGTGACCAGGAGGGCCTCGTCTCCTGGAATGTTGTGGAAATTTGATACTCAGTGCAAACTCGTTACTTGGTGGTTTTTGAGGTCGCTGAACACTAATACCATCTCGATGATGATACGCGATGCCATAACGGGCATCGTGTCTTAGAGTTTTGTGGAAATTCGATGCAAAATCAGTGCAAACTCGTTATCGCGGGATTTTGGGGTTGCTGATCATGAATATCATAACGGTGATAGTTTCCTATGCACAGACTCCAAAATACCAACCCTCTCCTGAGCACAAGGTGCCCCGGACACTATCGTCGACTTGATACTGTTCAGCGACCTCAAAACCCCCAAGTGATGAGTTTGCACTGATTTTGTATCAATTTCCACAAAACTCTAGAATCAAAGGCCGTCCTGATCACTAGGTACGTCGTACATTATCGCCGACATGATATTAGGATTCAGCGATCGCAAAAACCGAGAAACGAGTTTTCACTGATTGAGTATGGAATTTCTACAAAACTCCAGGAGGGCGAGACCCGGGAGTCGTTCAGACGCAGTCATGATATTTATGTTTAGTGAAACCAAAAACGGAGTACTAATATTGAACTCATTTCCGTCAATTATTTCCTATTTACAAATTGATCATTTTTCATCACTTGGAAATGCATTTTGGAAATTCATTTTCTTGTTCAATAATGCAATTTTCATTTTTGTTTAATCATCATTTTTGTTCAAAAATATCCAAACGATTACAATAACGTTTTCAGTCCTATTAGATCATCATCAGTGAAACCTGAAAGTAAGAAATCCCAATTGCGGATAAAATTTTGACTATTAATAAAAACGTGTGATATAATTACTTATTTAAGCATTTGCAAAAAAGCCACATACAAAACGGTATAGAAACATGTAAATTACATTTTAACAGTTGAAAAAATTTAAATTAAAACGACATAATATCGACGATTTAAGATTTAACCGAAAGGCAACATACTGACCTTACTCGAAAACTGTGACCACGTCCGAGTCTGACAAAAGTTACCAGCCAACTGAGTTGGAAGATCATGAAGTGAAATTAATTGGATATACATTGTCATTTTATAGTTAATTTCCCTTCCTGATTCTCCAACTAAGTTGGCTTGTAGCTTTAGTCAGACCAAGACGTGGACTCCTTCGAGTAAGGGTCAGTATGTTCCTTTTCAATCTTAAATTATCGTTTATTTACATTATGTCCTTTTAATTTTAATTTTTACCACTTTTAAAATACAGTTTTGTAAGTGGCTTTTTTGCAGATGCTCAAGTAAGTAATCTTTCTTAAAAATGCTCAAGTAAGTAATCTTGCTTAAAAATGCTCAAGTAAGTGATCACACATATTTTTTTAGATTAACAGTCAAAATTTTACTACTTTTGTTCATTATATTAAAGTGGGATTAATTGCTTGCAGATTTCACCGATAATCCTTTTGGATAATTTCATTATTTTAGTAATTTTACAAATATACCAATTACACTAGGAGTTATTACTTCAATAAAAGTTTCTTTTTATTAGGAAAAATGAAATTTGGATATTATTTGAGCTAATTTTAATTATTATTACGATATCTAAAACGGATTAAAATGCGAATAAGTCAAGTACATCAGCACTTTTCCACACAGAGATTTGTGATATCTTATATTACTCAAAATTCCACTGCGTCAAATCAATATATAGAAAGTACATAAGCACTTTAAGTTTGTTGCAAAGGAAAATTAAATTTGTATTGCATACTATATAAACTACATAATTATATTATGTTAGCAACAACTAATATAGAGTGCTTGTACTAAAAAATATATTTTACAAAAGATATTTCGATCACAACAAACTCTAAAATTATGATATGGTAATGTACCTCCACTTACAGTTGAAATCAATTCTGTCACTAACACTCAAAAACTAGATTAATAAATTATGAAATGCAGTAGTAAGCATCAGTGCCGATGTAAATACTAAGTGGTTATTTAAATTAAAAGAATTTTGAAATGGAATGCTTGAATGAAAGGACGTCACAACATCTTAGAGAAAAGTAGTGATTCATAATTTGTGTTCTTAGTATCTTTTAAAGTGCTTTTTGCACAGTGTTAGTATTGCCTCTTCAAATCTTATAGCCTTTTTGACATTTTTATCGTCTCTTGGGGTTAGGTCGTAGCCCTATGGGCTAGTAATAACTTCAGATTTTAGCATGCTTCCTAAAATACTCATCTTCTAAATGTTAAATAAGCCCCAAGTGCCCCAACTGAAACAAAAAAGATGTTAAAGTAATTTAGAATTTTAGTATATACGGAACCATAAATTTATAATACCTTGTAAAACGCTATTTATCGAATTGATGGTTCCTTGATGGAAATTAATGTTCTATAATATACCAAAAAATACATAACTGTTTTTTATTTCCATAGAATACATTTAATTTAATATTTTTCGCTGAAACATCAGCTTTTTCAGACGAATGCTAATTTTAAACATGATTTTAATTATTTTTATATGAAAACAATGTATATGTGTAAAAGAACGTTTTGCGTTTGAGAACAAAAGACGAAGAGCAGATAAACTGTGCAGGCTGAAAAAGAGAATGTACAAAAACCAACGGATACTAAACATAGAGGGGGAGTTTAAGGAAAAAGAAACAAGTAGTGCATACCAATTTATCAAACATTTAAGACAGGGATACAAACCGAAGACTAGCCTCTGCAAAAATAAGAAGGTTGAAATCATTAGCAATATGGACGAAATTAAGAGAACTTGGATGACATATTTTAAGGAATTACTAAACAAAGGGACCCAACCACCATTACAACAGATGCAGCAGCAGGCACGGCAGGAGGTACAACAAAAAGAGCTGGGGAAGATGGAGAAGAAAATGAATTAATTAGACCCCCAACGCTAGAGGAGGTCCAAACGGTAATCCACATACAAAAAAGCCATAAAGCACCGAGAATAGATAAAATACCGGCAGAACTACGCAAGCAAGGAGGACAGAATTTGACACAACAGATGTTCCAGCTAATACGAGAGATATGGATAGAAGAAGAAATACCCCAACAATGGAAGAAAAGTTTAATCTGCTCTCTTCATAAAGAAGGAGACAAACTGTGGTGTCACAATTATAGAGGCATCTCTTTACTTTGTTTGGGATACAAAATACTCACAAACATCATTAATCGAAGACTTCAACCTCTCACGGAAAAAAATCATCGGGGAATATCAAGCAGGGTTTAGTCAAAATAGATCTACCATTGACCAACTATTGACAGTTAAACAAATACAAAGGCCCTTATCTCTTACAAAGAGAGAAATGTTGTTCCAAACATGAATATATCAGTCGCATAAAAGAGCTTGTATTGGCTTTACCAGTTGTCAATAAGTCAAGAAATCTATTTATCACAAAAACAATATGCCGCAAAGACATTTTAGAACTAGTGGAGCTCGAGCAATTGGTTCGTTGGATCCAATAAGGCATAACCTAAAAAGAGGTTCCGTTTGCGTGTGGGAAGACATATGTTTTGATGGTCGCATGGACTTAGTCGTCTTAATTAATGAGACAATGACTGCTACACGATATCGAGACAGAGTCATAGTACCAATAGTTGTTCCATTTTTTGGTGCAATAGGCGAACAATTTGTTCTGATTGATGATAATGCTCGCCCTCACCGTCCGAGAATTGTCAACGAATTGACTCCTTCAACCGCCCCAAACCTTAGATCAGTTGGCCAGTACATTACTCGCGATTTGGGAATGTATATCGTGGCAGTTCATCAATAATTTAAAAGGTCTTTCAAACAGAGTTAGAGCACTAAGGCGACACACACTATGGACCACATACACTATTAATTTTTCTTTTCGGGATATTAAAAATTGAGCAGGAATAGAAATTTTAGGTTGTTAATTTTACAATTTTTACCAAAGAATTTCTTTCTTTCGGTTCATCTGTATGAAATAGGAAGTAAAAATAAATCTTTATTTATATCACTCCATTTTTCTATTTGACCTTTTGAAAAAAATAAAATACACATTTTCGTAATATCCACTTCAATTGTTGAGAGTGTATTTATCGAATGATGGTTCCTTGATGGAAATTCATGTTCCATAATATACCAAAAATAATAATATTTTTTATTTTCCATAGAATACATTAATTTAATATTTTTCGTCGAAACATCAGCTTTTTCAGACGAATGATAATTTTAAATACGATTTTAATTATTTTTATATGAAAACAATTTGTATGTGTAAAAGAACGTTTTACTCTTTTTTGCCTAACTAAATTTCCTCTTGAACCTCCGTGTGTGATACCTAACCTAACACACAAAATAACAACATCGGTGTGGACGAAATAACTCTATAACCGGAGTAAACTGAGGCAGGTTCAGAAGCTATAGCTAGCAGTCCTGGCACTGGACTCAGGTGCAATAATCCCATAATCTGTTCACATTAAACTCAGCTGTCACAAATGCTATGAACAACGTCCAAACCCAACAGGTTAACAAACAACGACCAAAGCTACGGAATAAAGACTTAATGATGGAATTGCGATTAGGAATCTCCAAACCATGTTGCAGGCAGGCAAAATGACATAAGCCGCTCTCCACGAAATCAGATTTAAAGGGCATGGATGCATAAATTGCATTGGCCTCTTATTGGATCCATTCTGTTCAAACATTAATGTTTTTAAAAGGCAACTTAGGAGTCTAATTAATCTAAATTTGTGAATTTTTTTTACATTTTGTGATTTGATATATTGTTTTAATGTACAATTTTTTACTGTTTCAATTGTTTATTTGTTGTTGCTTTGATGTTTATTGTACATTGTTCTGAAGCTATTTTCTTGCGGCATTGTAAAGTATATACTATTTTAATGGGAATGAGCCACAATTAATGGTTAAAATATGTTTATTAACGTTTTAATTTCCACTTCGGTAATCGTTCTCAAAATATAAACATTAATAAATTTATTAAAATAGTATCTAGTTTATTGTACATAATCTTTACTTTTTACAATTTTTTGTATTTTATTGTAAATTGTTCTACCGTTGAAAGAAATAAATAAATTAAATAATTAAAAGGACTAAAGTTTATACTACTGTGGAGCACCACAGTTGTTAAGCCTCAAAGTTAATAATAAACGAGATAATTCAATAGTTATCACTACTTTCCGCCTTAACTTGGAAAATATCGACCCCACGAAAAAAATTGGAAAGAAATTGTAGAAAATCGTAATTGCAACAATTTAAGTCGTTACGATTTAGATGAAAAGTTGGAAATGGCCGAGATCTTTGATAAAAACAATTCCTATAAAACGAATACCGCAAAGCGTACGATGTGCCTTTCCGCATACGTACGATCAATATTAATTTTAGTAAAAAATTAAAGAAATATCGATAATTATGCTTCCACTAACTAGGAAATACCGACGCCAAAAATTTGAAAAGAAATGTAGGAATCGCATTTGCAACATTTCAGTCCATACCATTGTTGTCGATAAGGTAAAACGGCGGAGATATTGAGCAAAAACGGATCTCCTTCTTCAAAAAACAAGATGGCGGCTAACGCAACATTAGGATTCAGTCACGATTTTAAATTTACACTACTATTGACCCCTCCTCTAAAAGTTACAATAATAAAATTTTGGGGTAGATTGCCATGCCAGGTTAGGCCTTTTTTTTGTCTAACCAGACTGGATACAATATTATATTAGTCAGCTTTCCTTGCCTTGTCTTTTTCTAAAATTAGTTGAATATATCATGGTATATTAGTTATGTGGCTGTTTTGTTGATCTTTTTTTAATAGTAAAGAACCAGACTGCTTAAGATTACTATAACTATAACTTTAACTAGTATGTAGTCAGATGAAATATACACATTTGATGCAACTAGATAATGGTTTGATTCGCCATTAATGATGCAAACTTGCTTAGAGTAATGGAAAACTTTACTCTTGGATACGTCGTCCGTTGAGGTACCATGTCGTGGGCGGCTATAAATAGCGGTGACAGAAAAGAATGAATCGAATTTGAAAGTTAAAACCTTGTTTAAGTTTGAGCTTCTTCAAGGAGCTGCTCCTTTTTTTGTGCGAGCTTTTGAGGGGGGCGAGCAACGTTTGTTGCAAGTACATTATTTTGGAGTGGTATGCAGCTATATAGCGAAGGCTTACATGGTGGTGATATAGAAAAGGAGCGCTATGAGGGAGAATTATTTAGATTAACCAACCAAGCCATGAGTAGAAGGTACCTCCAGTGTTATCAACAGAGAAGAGCCAAAATATTGATTTTATTTCTACAACGATTGCTTGTATTCGAACTGTTTCGTCTTAAGGCAACCCAATATAAAATGGGAAGTAGACTTGCAAATAATTATTGATATACCTACATGGGCGGTACCTCCATAATGTAGCATTGTAAATTATATGTAGATGTATTAAATACAGTTAAGATTGTGAAATGTATTTCAGAAATAAATGGAATATCAATCTAAAGAAATAGTATACACTATAGCCAATTAATTGCAAAAAATAAATTTGACAAATACTTCCAAAAAGGATTCCTGACTATAGAAAAACCTTTTATACAATATAATAATACGATAATTTATTAGTAAATCAGTAACATATGGAGGATACATCATTTATGTTTTTTAAATAACAAACATATTAAAATCCGAATTTGGTGTTTATTGAAAGTAAACTAAATGCACGACCAAATACTTACCATGTCGGGATAGTATTGTAAGGTTTTTTTCCTCAGGTTTTCCCTCATAATTTACTATGGAATCACTAACAGGAGAATTTTACTGTCATCATGGCATGTGTTTTTATCTTTTTAAAGACGAATTACATGCTATGATTTTTTCTGACGGATATTCTCAAGTTAAGTTGATTTCATGTAATCGAATGAACTATCTTATAAGTAAAGTCGTTCCAGGAGCGCAACTCAACTACTATAAATGAGTCAGATAAAATTAAATTGTTAGAAGAATTTTTACTAAGTAACAAAAAAAAACAAAATTTGTTTAATTTACTAATGTTTGTATTTTGAAAACGATTTCCGAAGTGGAAATTGAAACGTCAATAAACGTATTTTAACCTTTAATTGTGGCTATTCCCATTTAAATAGTAATTAAGATAATTTAACTTACCAAAGTCTGCTTCTGTTGTTCTTTCTGCAAGATCAGTTCAGTCTGGTGAGGATCAAATTTACAAACGGCCGCTATCACCCTCGCTAATACCAAACTCTCCTTGCCCAACATATAATTGTACAAAACATTTTTCAGATATTCTACCTCCGTTGAAGTAGAAAGCTCAGCACAGTGGTTAAGGGTCACAATGGTCTCATCTAATTTTCTATTTAGCTTATCATTTTGGTTTTTCAATTTCTGCAGTTCATTTTCGTAAAATTCTATTGAACTTTTGTTGGTAAGATCTAATGATTTGTATTTAGTCAGTTTTTCTCTTAAAATATCTATCTCCTTTGCATAATGCTGCTTTTCACCTTCGCTTAAAAATGCCTGTTCTTTCTTGAGCGTTTCTAAATTATCCAATCTTGATGAATTACTATTGCAATTTACGGGAGAAGTTTTCAGTTCTTGTATCTCATCTTCTAAAAGCTGTTTTTCTCTAAGAAGATCATTGTAATGGCTTTCAGACTCGCTTATTTGGGCTTCCAATTTTTCTTTTATTTTACCAAATCCAGCACATTTTTCTTCTAAATTATTATATTCTTGTTTTAGATTCTTATTTTCTATAAAAAGGTTATCACATTTTTCTTTAATTTCATAAAAGTCTTCTTGTATTTTTGCTATTTCGGATCCATTGTTTTCTGACGTCGTTTTCTCGCTTTTGAGTTTTACATTTTCAGTTTCTAGTGTATTTAGCTTATGTGTAAGATCTTGTATATTATCTAGTAAAGATTTATTCTCTCTGTCCAGGTAATCTGTATTTGGTCCCTTAGATTGTTGTTCCTTTAAAAACTCTAAAGACAATTTTAACTCTTCTTTCTCTTGGGAGAGGGTTTGGTTTTCTTCGATAACATTTCTATTGTCCATGGAAAGTTGTTGGATTCTACAATGGGAAAACAAAATACAAATAAATTTTTAAAAAATTACCAAAAAAATAAATACTGTATCATATTAGATTAAAGATCGAGAATAAACTTATAAAAGCATCGATGTGTCATGGGTAACATCATACCTACAAATACATAGATAACTGTTCATTATATTAGGGATAATGCACTAAAACAGAATTTAAGAAACAAACGCGACGTAGGGAGTACGCTATTGGAAGTGAAATAGTGAAGTACGATTTGTTTTGTTTCGAAGGTGTCATAAAGATTTTTGTTTTATGATTGTAACCAAATATGTGTAAATAATATAACATGTGTATAAGATGGAAGGCAACCGTATATGCGCATTTCTGACTATTGGTCGTCTTCAGTATGGTGCAGCCAAGCTAGAAAAGGAGTATGTTCTATAGACGAATATATTGTGTGTTGATGTGTGCCGAGGAAGAGTCCTTTAAAATAAATCACAAAGGATTTTTTTTTAATAAGAAATAGAGTGTAAAGGCTGAAGAACTTATTAAATCCAAACGTCTGCTGGGATACCTACCAGAGATCTGAAGGTGATATTAGCCAGATTCCAAGGTGACCAGAAAGCTAAATTTGAGTCTCCAGGTGAAAAAAGAGTCCGATGTATAATGGCAATACTTAGTAGGGCTTTCAGTGTAGTAGGGCCTACTACCAATTTCATCGTTAATTTTATGCAGCTCGACGAAAAAAAGCTACGCAATCTGGTGAAGACTAAACTTAATTAGGTACATTAAAATAAGGTTTATTGTTTTAAAATTACACGGTTAAATGTCTCTACTCTAATTTCAAGGATAAAAATATTGTCAAACTGTCTATGGACAGAATTTCCTGTAGGTCCAATCCATTTTGCAGCTCATTTGTTGAATCCCCCACACAATGATACAAATTGGCACCAATAGAGCTTCTAGATGCTATCGATTTTGTATATGATATTTGCTAGCAAATGGGAGTAGATGTAATGAAAATATAACGGATTATAGATGTAAAGGAGATTTGTGGGGATGTCAGTTCATCTGGAATGGTGTTCCAAACAAGGAAGTAATCCCGATTCTATAATGAAGGGACTTACGTGGTATATACGAAGTTGCTGATGTGTCAATAAGAATGCTTGAAGCCCCTAGTACATCAGCCACCATAGAAAAAACATTCAGTACATGCGGCTGGATATACATTAAATAAAAAGATTATCAGCTCAAAGAACTCCTAAAATAATCTAGGTACTTGGTACCAATTGGAAATTACTCAAAAATTAGGAGACTAAGTCTAAGATTAAAAAAAATTAAAGAAAAAGATGATAATCCTAACAATCAATCTAATTTTCAAGATTCTGAAAGGAATCAGTCAGCTATAACCAGTAATCAAGAGGATAATGTGGGCGATGAAGATGAGTATGAGTAAAGTGCTATAACTAATAAAGATAAGGATGAGTTAATGTGGTCACCAACATCACTAGAAGGTAGGCACCTTTAAAAGAAGAAGCGCAGAAAGGATACCATTTGATAAAAAGGTCTCATGATCATGTGCTAGAGACAAGTAGTGTCTCGTCTGAGGTAATAAGAATTGTATGCATTTATCAATAGTTGAATTATAAATGAGCAGTACTGTAAAAATAAGTATAATATACCTGATGTTTAGTTCTGTAACTTCTTCCTTGAATTTCTCCCTTTCTGCCTGTAATAATTCTCTTTCACTCTCTGAATGAACTAACTGCGTATCCAGGTTTCCTCTATGGGAGATTTGTTGATTTAATTCCACTATTTCCCCCCTTAGAGCGTTTATTTCTTCGAGTACACTGTCCCTTTCTTCTTTTAATATGTAAATTTCTTGATCTTTAATTTTCATTTCAGCAGTTTTACTTTTTATTTCTTTTGTGAACTTTTCAACCTCTGCAGATTTTATTTTACATTTTTCTTCTTCTGCTTTACAAGCGCTTTCTAATGTATAAACTCTGTTAGCCAGTTCTTCAAGTTTAGAAGTTTTATCTTCCAATTGGGACTCTAATCCATTTACTTGTATAATCAATTCGTTTTGGCAGGCTTTTTCTCTTTGTATAGCCTCAACATTTTCCCTTTTAATATTTTCTACCATAACATCTAATTTTTGTGTATCAACAAGCAAATTATTAAATTCTTCTGATTGTTTTTTAACCGTCGCATGTAAATGGGCGACATCTGAAGACAGTTTTGTAATATCTGTGTCTTTGGCTTCATTCTCAGCTTTAAGCTGTGAGTTTTATAATTCGAATGTCTTCTAGTTCTTGCAACACAACTTTTTTAGCGTTCTCAGATTCATTTATTGTTCCTTCTAGCTTTTTAATTTGCTCATTCAGATCTTGAACAACGACATTTTTATCTTCATATGTTTTCTGTAATTCTAGGTTTATTGATTCCAGTTTTTTAACAACTGATAAACTTTCAAGATGCTCTTTGTTAGTTTTTTCAACCGAAGTGTTTTGTTTTTCGAGCATATCTGACAATTGTTGGTTTTCAACTTCCATTTTTTGGAGCTTTAGCTCTAAAATACCGTATTCTGATTCAGTTACTTCCAATAATTTTGATTTTTCTTCCAGCAATCTATATTTTTCCTCAAATTCTCTTAAGTTCGATTCTAATATGGAGACGTCTGATAACAACTTAGCGGTCTTGATTCTTTCTTCTTGTAAAAGATGCTCTAGTTGGTCTATTCTATTGTGATTTTCTTGAGATTGTTCCATGAGGTTTTTAATGAGATATTCCTTTTCTTGTATCAAGTTTTTACTGTGATTTAATTCACCTTCTAAAGTATTTATATTTGTATTAAATTCTTTGTGGCTACTGTGTATACTAGTGACTTCTCTTTGAAGATTTTCAAGCTCTTGTGTCTTAGACTTATTCTCTTCTGATAACTTGGAGTTTTGTGTAAGAAGATCTGTATAAAATTCCTCTTTTTTCTTACACATATCTTTCATAACATTAAGCTTTGCCATTAGTTCAGCATTTGCAAAATCATTAAAATCTTCGTCGCTATCTATTAATTTTAACTCTTTACATATTGAAGTAAGTTCTTCTGATAAATTATTGCATTGTTCCGTAAATCTCTCACTATTCTTGGAATTAGTATCCTCCAGATGAGCCAGTTTTAAGTTAAGCAACTGGGTCTCGTTTCTGGCTACATCCTCGGCTATTTGTTTTTCTTCTAGTAATCTTATTTGTTCTTGAAATTCCAATAGTTCCTTTTCTAGTTTTGAGTGTTTTTCAGTAAACTCAGAACTCTTTTCTTTTGCCTCTATCAGGTATGCTTGTAGCTGTTTAATTTCTCCATTTTTAACTTCAATGGATTTATTTAATTCTTGTTTTATCTGTTCAAACTGTCTCATTAAATAACTTTTCTCCTCTTCAAAGCTTTTAAGAAGGTGGTCACTATCAGAAGATTGTAGTTCCATAGCCTTATTTCTTTCTTCTACCAACCTCAACTGTTCATTAGTGTTATGTAAAGCCTGTTTAATATTGCTTAATTCCTTTTCGGCTTTTTGATAATTTCCTTCTGATATTTCTAATTGGTCCTGTAAGGTTTTAATGTGTTGTTCAAGTCGTTTTACTTTTTCTTCTTGAGCATCTAAGGTTATTTTGTCTTTCTCTAAGTTGGATATCGTGTGGCGTAGATCTACACAGTTTTCTATCAATTCCAAGTGATTTTTTTCTAATTCCTCATACGCGTTGGTCTTACTTGATAATACTGATTTAGTTTCATTTAATTCTTCAGTGATATTTTTTATAATTGTGTCTTTTTCAATAAGCTGCACTTGAATTTCTTTAGTAGTATTATTGCTAGAAGTTAATTCCTCAATTTTCTTAGAAAACTCTTGTTGAAGTTCTGACTCCTTTAAATTAAATTCACTCTCAATTTTTTCCCTAATTTTAGGTTCTAAAGATATGAGCCCTTTTTTGGCATCTTCCCGGAGTTGAGAGATTTGTTTCTCATAACTTTCTCTTTCTTTTAATAGGCTTTCATTAAGTTCCGAATTACTTTTTGTTAGTTGATCTTTCACTTTTTCCAACTGGAATATCTCGTTTCTTCGCTCTTCATCTTTGTCTTTTACATTCTTGATTTCTTGTTTGTAGGTTTCCATTTTCAATAATTCACTTTCCAGGTTATTACATTTTTGGGTAAGTGATTCGACCTTTTCAATTAATCTTTTATTTTGGTTTTGCAAATTTTCCAATTTTTGATTACTACTGGTTTTATTTTCTGCTTCCATAGATTCTAATTTATTTTTTAACACTTCATTATCACGTTTTAAATTGGACATTTCGTTGTCTTTAAGTAATATTTCATTGTGAAGTTCCATTTTATTCTGCGCCAGGTTGAGATTATTCTCTTTTTCTCTCTCAGAAAACTGTACTATCTCTTTTTCCAAGTTAGATATTTTTGATTTGTATTCCTGTTCGGTACTTTGGAATACTATAGATTTCGCTTTTAATTCCTGAATTTTGGCATTTAAGGTTTCTATCTCCTTCCTGGAATCATTCAGATATTTGGTTAGATTTTCTAAATTTTCGGATGAATTATTGCTGGATTCTTCAATATTTATTAAGGAGTTGGAATTACTTTTATTTTGCAATATGTCAATTTTAGTTTGTAAGCTTTTAATTTTGTAATTTTTTTCATCAAGATCATCTCTCAAAGCACTTTCTAGATGAGCTTTTGCCTTCTGTTCTAAGGCACACTGTTCTTTTAACTCGGTTACTCTTCTTATGGCTTTGTCTTGTGTTTCTACCAATACACTCTAAAAAACAAAAATTATTATTTCAAAGAGGTTCTGAAACTGTTTTGTATCATAGTTAAGTTAAATAATATTTATATGGGATTAAACCACAATTTGATTGTAATGAATTACATTTTACTTGACTTTGATGTTTCGATTTCCACTTTGGAAATTATTTTCAAAAAAGATTATTTTAAAATAAGGTTATTTTAACTTGCGGATGTTTATTAATTGGTGCTTTGTTATACCAATTTGACAGGTGTCTTGCTTGGCCTCTATCTTGTAGGCAAATAGACATGTTTTTGAGTTGACAATTCTGAGGATGGTAATTTCACACTCTGGTTGATATAAAATTCTGATTTTTGGTGTTTATGTATTATATATTATGTATAATTGAATCGGTGAGCGAAAGAACAATATAAACGCCAAAAACGACATTTTGAACTTAGATAGCCAAAATACGTTTAATACATTAACGCATCAGTGTGCAAAAGAACACTATGTAAGCATCTCTCTACGCTACAATATCGACAGAGCGATTTGGTAGATGAGTGAAAGAACGGTATAAGTGCGGCGTTTATACTGTCCTTTCGCTCGATGGCGTTACGTCGTCGCGCGTCACTTGATGATTCATCATATGAATAATTCATGATTCATTTAGTAGCCGACAGTCAAAGGTAAACAATCTTGCATTCCATTATTTTAAATATTAAAGAGTTTTTGTAAATTATATGAATGATAAAAATCATGTATATACAACTAGTAGTGACAGTGATCGTTCTCCTGAGAGATCTATTAAAAAGCGAAAGATGCGACCTGATACTTAAAAGCAAAACAAACAAAAAAGTGATCATCTTCATGGCAATGAATATGTCAACACTGACGGAAAAACTGTTAGTGCCATTCGAGTAAGTTATTTGTTATTAACTTGTTTTATATTACCAAATACATACATGTTTGTTATTATTTGTATTAAGATTTTGAGACAGATTTTTGGATTTTTCGGGACAGAGATCTAACCTATCCTGAATTTTTTCTAGAAGATTAGATATAGAATTCTGTGGCAAAAGAACCAAAAGTTTTTTATCACATCAGATACTCAATATGAAAGTGCCACGGTAGATGTACGAAAAACATAACGCAAGAGTAAAAGAAAGCCATATTGTCCAATTTGCTTGAAATGAAGTCCAAGAATGAACAGGATATCCGTTTAGTGGGTCTTATCCTTATCTAAGCCAGATGTCCTATTTTAATATGAGTTACGATATTAAGTTCCTGGTATATTCTAGTTGTATCGTCTTCTCCACGCTCCATTGTCATCTACTTTTCTTTCGAAACATCCTAACGATTTAAGGAGGAGATTGAGCCCAAAATAACATCTGTTGCCTGTGCAAATTCTGATCTCTGCGATAGTATTATTTTCAGTGTTAAGGAGCGCTCCCAGGTATACAAATTCGTTCACTGCTTCGATGACGTCGTTTTCTATAACAAGTGGTCGTAGGATTTGTGGTTGGGTGCTTATTTTCATATACTTCGTTTTGTTGGTGTTTATTAGTAAACCCATTTTTGTAGCTGATTCTTTTAATGCTGCATACGCCTCCCGTACAGTGTTTTCGGTTCTACCAACAATATTGATATCATCAGTATAGGCCAGGATTTGCACTGATTTATTATATATTGAACCAGCGGTTGTGATTTGGAACATATGTATTAGGTACTGTTTCCACAGCCAGATTGAACAGTATACAGGAGAGAAGGTCTCCCTGGTGCAGCCCATTATTTGTTTTAAAAGGTTCAGACAGTTCAACCTGAATTCGTACTCTACATTCAACTTTTTCAAGAGTTAGTTTTGTTAAATTTACCAACTGATTTGGTATCCATAGCTCTTTCATTGCTTTGAACATTTCTCTTCTATTCACAGAGTCGTAGACTGCTTTGTAGTCTATAAATATTTTCCAAAATTTGTTTCAGAGTTGCAATCTGATGAATTGTCGATTTACCCCTCAGAAACTAGCCTGGTATTTTCCTACTATTAGTTCTACATATGGTGCCATAGTACTGTGGAAAATATTTTATATGCTGCATTTAGAAGCGTAATTCCCCTGTGGTTAGAGCATTCAAAGATGTCTCCTTTTTTGTGTATGGTGCAAAGTATTCCAATATTCCAATCATTGGAGAGGGACTTCTGTGTCCATATTTCTTTTATAAGCTGCTGTAATGCCGTAATGGTATCATGGCCATCTTCTTTATATAGTTTAGCTAGGAGATTCCGGGTGATTTGTTTCTTTCCAATTTTTTAACTGCATTTTTAACTTCAATAATCGTTGGGGGTTCCTCTTCCCTCTCGTCTGCTTCCCTTACCTACCTTTTCCACAAAACTTCCCATTATAACAGTTCTGAAGTAATGCAGTATCTTGATGCTAAACTTAACTTAAAAACTGACCAAACTTGAGACAACAGGTAAAATATGACTATCTTAAGCATTTCAATGAAAATTATTCTTTGCGTTTTGGAAGACCACCAGTGGACATATGCGGTGAATGTGAACGACTTGGAATAATGCTGAAAGATCCGCACTTAAATGATAATGCAAAAAGAGTAACCGCCGTCGAATTATTGGTGCACAAACAACGTGCAAAAAAGTTTTATACCCAAATTCAAACTTTTTTAAAACTAAGTGCTGAAAGAGACGATGTTTGTAGTATAACTTTCGACTTTATGCAAAACTAACCCTTGCCTAACATACCGGTACAGGAAATTTTTTATTATCGTTAGTTATGGGCACATGTCTTTGAAATCAATAATTTAAAAGACAATACTCATCATGTTTACATGTATCTTGAAGGGCGGGCTTATAAAGGTTCTAATTTAATTTTAAACAAAATTTCTTCAGAAATAACTGAACTGCATATATTTTCTGATGGGTGTACTGGTCAGAACCGCAACAATACAATGGTAAGATTTATGATAACATCGGCAAGTACCAAACGCTTTAAAAATATGTCAATATATCTCTATCGCGGACACTCGTTTTTACTCCGTGATCGTGATTTCGGGACAGTTAATAGATTAATAAGGAGATCTGATCGACTTTACCTGCATAAAGAATATAAGAATACGATTTTAAGTTGCAAAAAAGCAAATCCCTTCACTATATCCTCAATTAGACACATTAGATTATAACAATATTCTTGACTTCAATAACTGGTGCCCCACTTTTATAAAAAGATGTGCTCTTGAACAAAAAGTTAATTTCAATGTGTCCCAATTTAGACATTTCACATATTGGAACGAAACACCAGGCTATGTTACCACAGCCGAGTATATAGAGGGCCTTATTTTCCATACATTTACGTTGGTAAAGCCAAATGTTAACTCTCAATTTCCTACCGACAAAGCATATACAGAACCTGTTCTAATAATTGAAGCAAAGATAGCAGACATTAAGAAAATTCTCCAATATATATCTGGAGAGGATTTAGGTTTCTATTACCATATTACTTCTTGGAAAGTCATTATGAAAAACGATGATAATTTTATTTGACGCAAATATATCGTGATGAGGACCGAACATTTTTCTTTCAAAACATTTCGAGTTTTTCTTCACTAACTGTCGTCATCGTCCATGTTTCGCATCCATATGTTTGATTTGCACATTTTGATTTTTGATGCCCTTTTTATGCTTTTTGATTTTATAGGCTTATCCAGTACATACATAGATCGGTTTGCAGCCTGGAATCTATAAAATAACGCACAAAACTTTTCGAAGCATGCCCTGGTACAGATGTAAGCACAATTTTCTCTTCATGTACATTAAATATAAAAATGTAGGAGGGTAGGCTTTCATTGATATCTACTGTTACTGTTTTAGTGGAGAAGTCACACTGAGATCTATAATATATATTGTTTCCTTTTTTCCTGTAATCTCTTATGATTCTTTAGCGGACTATTCCTCCCAGAAACTTTATTATATTTAGGGGCTCTGTGTTATGCTTAGTTCATTTAATCTTCCCTATTTAGCACTTTGAACCTGATCATATGAAATTTCAGTACTTTGATGGCTACTTGACTATCGGATATTAAGACAATCTCTTGTTTTAGTGAAAGATGCTTGGAATCTTGACCACACTTTCAGAGTGTTTACTGCTAGACCTGTACACTCCTATTCCAATTACTTCTGCTCTTTTAGAACCATGTGTACCTTTTGAAAGCATTTTTGTTAAGTTTAGAAATGCTGTTTTTGTCCCATTCCTTTTTGTGCTTTAACTTTGTAGTAAAATGATGTAAATGCTGTCACGGTTATAGTATTAAGTTACCACAAGGGAACTTAGTTACTGTAGCTGGCTGTATACCATGTATCACAAAAAATTTATTAAAATCCTTTATAAAAGGCATATCATTAAAAAACATAATCGGGCTTTATCCCAAAAAAACGTTTTCGGAATCCATATTCCATCATCAGCGTCTAGGTGTACATGTTTTGAGCCACTAACTATCCGGGTAAAAACCCGTTAAAAGTTATAGGTTTAAATTTATTTTACATTATTCAATCTTATATGTTAAGATGTCAAATCCACTGGTAACTTTAACATATTAATATATAAGATCGAATTATGTAAAATAAATTTAAACCTATAACTTTTAACGGGTTTTTACCCAGATATTTAATGGCTCAAAACATGTACACCTAGACACTGATGACGGAATATGGATTCCAAAAACGTTTTGTTGTTGTGATATAGCCCGATTAGGCTTTATAATTATATACCTTTTATAAAGGATTTTAATAAATTTTTATTAGGTTATAGTTCAAATTACAATCATCTTAAATTTTCTAAGAAAAATAAAAATTTTGTGGCACAACGACTAATTTAATGTTAGACTATTTCCATTTTTGCTACATTTGTGAAAATAAGTCATTTTCATTTTTTTATATTATAATAATAAAGCTTGAGAATAGAAATGTCGATTTGTTCTAAATGTGCTGCAGCAATAAGTCTATCATGTGATAACTATGTAGAAGATTTCATTCTATTGATAACTGCTTGGTCTTAGCTGCAAGCGAATTAATATTTTTTCTGTGTGGAATGCCGGAATGAATTTTAAGAAATTCCTTATTTGGCGAAGAAAGTAAGTGTGGTCAAAGAAGAGTTAAGAAAAACCAAATTAAACTTGCAGTCAACATATTTAAAAAAAAAAAATTTCAGAAATTTAAGTCAGTGATATCTGACCAAAATCTTCCAATAAAGTCATCCCAGGAATGTAACTCAAAAATATTGGCAATATTATTTTAAAGTCATCTACTTTAAAATGTACAACATGTCTGAATTGTCAATATCACTGAATCAGATAAAGTTAAATGATTAGATTTTTTTTCCAAGTATCGAAAACAAAATTTGTTTTATTTATTGTTTTGTATTTTGGAAACAATCTCTGTAGTGGAAATCAAAATGTCAAAATACACTTATTTTAAAGTAAAATTTTGTCTTATTCCCAATAAAAATGGTAAATTATATTAAACAGTATTACATTTTTTTACATTATCAATTTTAATGTGGTCCTGATTAAGAATTTAAGAAATAACGGAACCAGTATGAATAGGTAGTATGATGAACTTTTGGCTGAGAAATATATAAAAAGAAATTAGATACTTGCCTTCATTTTTGTTATATCTCTTTCTAAGTCTTTATAATGTCTAGACAAATCTGTGTATCTTCCTCTGTATTTATGATAACGCATTTGCGATTTTTGAAAAGCTGAGTATATCTGTTCCTTTGTTAGATGCCCCAATTGAGATGATGCAGTTGAAGCATTATCCTCAACTTCACTTGCAGAGATATCCAAGTCAGACTAAAAAGGAATTTTATTATTACTTATTTATAGGGCATATCTATTAGTATCAATAATCCGATAAATAATATATTACAGTGTCAAATAATCCAAAACGCTTATAGAGCATAAGTATCACATAAGTAATGTGAGAAGAAAAAAAAAGGAGCCAAAAATATCATAATTATTATTACCTATTGATAACATACACACTACAATATGAACAATGATAACATTTATAAATTAGCTTCAACACGGCATACAAAGCTTCTCTCATTAATACTAAAATCTAGATGTTGGATAGGTTAATAAACTATCTAATGAGACTATTGAATTTGATGTTTGTTCTACAGAATGGTACTTATAATACAAACTTTTGGTTTGGTAAAACAACCTTGTGTTCATTACAGGGACTTCCAGGTCGTCACAGTACCACCACTGGACAAAAACAGTAGCACTAAATACTTTACAATAATACTTCCAGTACTAATACCTTAGGAAGTAAAAGAGTAAACCTCTCATATACGAGATTATAATTATAATGGTAATTGTCAAGGGCACTAATTCACTGCTTACTAGGTATCTCAAAAATGTGTGCTACCAACTGCTCTGTTCAAATAAGTTCAAACAGGAGAAACATACTTCAATAGAGATCAATGTACAATACAACACATAAAAAGGTAAAAGTTTTGTAAAGTCTTTTGTACATCCCTATCAAAACCAGTCATATTAAAGGTTATGAAGAAAATATTAGAAATATAGATTAAGTGACAAAATGTCAAATAACCACTGATATTCTTAAAGGTGGCCATATTAGACAAGATAGTATTAGCCACTTTACAGGCAAATGTTTCTAGGTCTTCTTCTCAGAAAAATAAATGTTGTGGGTCTAAAACAGGGGTGGCCAACCTTTTTAAGTCGAGTGCCAATATGAGAACAAAAAAAATTTGGCGTGCCACTAAAATTTTTCGACATACTAATATGGATACTATATATTAATAATATACGGTACAATATGTACAACAATACGGTACAACATTTTTCCATTTAGTCAAGATAGTAGAGGTTTAAAAAATAACGTAATAAGTAAAACATAACAACAAACTTACTTTATTGTTAATAAAAATAAAATAAAAACGTTAAACAAAAAAACTTAAATATTTTCTTATTATCTAAAATTCAAATTATTAAACAGTTACTTATTTAATGTGGTACTTGAACTTGTATTTTTTTAATGAATTCATCTATATTGGGATTAATTTCGGAACTAGCCAACAGAATTAGATTTTTTAAATGCATGTCAGTTAATCGTGACCGATATTTTGATTTTATTATGTTCATAATAGAGAACATTTGCTCACAAACGTACGTTGAACCAAATCTACAACAATATCTCAGAGCTAACTCGTGTAAATTAGAAAAATTGTTTGCTGGTACAAATTTCCAAAATTCAATATAATTGGGATCAGTAACAGTTGAAATAATTTCCCTATATTTGGTTTTTAGTATAGTGTGGTTCTGTAAATCAATAATTTCGATCTGTATTTCAGCTGAGTAACAATTGATATCTTGCAGAGAAATAAAAAAAGGATTTATGAAAAGGTCAACATTCATTTTGTCTTTTTGAAAATCTTCAAACCGGGTATTGAATGAACCTAGCAAAATATATATAAGGTTTTTAAATCTGTCATAATTTGGAGTTCTACTGACCTTGTTGGCTAATTCCTGCATTAATGTGAAATGTGTCAATCTCTGTTCTCCAAAATCGTTACAAAAAAGCATAAGTTTATTCACAAAAGAAGATATATGACCAACTAGAGTAGGAAAAATACAATATTTTCCATGTAATCTTAAATTTAATAGATTTAAATGTCTCATAATATCAGTGAGAAAAGCTAAATCCCAAAGCCAATCTTTATCATTAAGTAACGAGCACTCACTGGGTAGTTGATTGTTTTCTTGCAAATATTTTAAGACACACTCCTTCAAGTTCCAAAACCTTTCGAGTGCATTTCCTTTGGAGAGCCAGCGCACACTGCAATGGAGAAGTAACTCTCCATCTTGCTCCGTTTCTTCCGCGAACAGTTCTCGAAATTGTCGTCGATTCAATGCCCGAGCTCGTATTTTGTTAATGCAGCGTGTTACAGGGTCAACAACAGATGACATGTTTAGGTCCTTGGCACAAAGAGCTTCCTGGTGAATAATACAATGGTACTTAAAAACTTTTCTTCCCAAATAGTTTTCCAGTAATGTAACAAACCCCTTTAGTCTACCAACCATGCAAGGAGCTCCATCTGTACAAACATTATCTAATTTTGACCATTCAACTTTGTTGACTTCGATTACGTTTTTAAGCTGTTGAAAAATGTCCTCTCCTGTTGTTGTGACTAGTTGGCGCAAATCCAGAAGCTCTTCGGCATTTTCAAAATTATCATTGGTATAACGGACAAAAATGATTAACTGCGCATTTTCTGTGTTGTCACAAATTTCATCCAACGCTAAAGAAAAGAATTTGCAGGATTGTAATCCACTTATAATTTGGGAAACAACATCCTGGCCCATATCATCTATACGGCACATGACTGTATTTTGGGATAATGCAATATTATCGACCATATTTTTTATCTTTACATCTCCCACATTTTTAGCAAATATTGCCAGACTATTTTTAATTATCTCCTCTCCATCAGAGTAGGTTTTTTTCTTCCGGGCTAACAGCAGAGAAAGTTCATATGATGTTTTAACCATAGTTTCCATTTCATCACTTCTCTTCTGAAACAGTGACTGTTGGCTGGCTAGGGTTTTCTTTTTTTTTTCAATAAAGTCGGCTCGCAAATGTGAACCAATAGGATATTGGTTGCTGAAGTCCTTATGCAGTTGTTTATAATGTCGTTCCAGGTTAAATTTTTTCGGAACTACTACAGACAATCTACATATCAAACAAACAGGCTTTGAAGTATTACGATTAGTAAATAAAAATTGTTCTTACCAAGCAGGTTGAAAATCGCGAATTGCAATATCATCTTCGTATTTTCGTTTTGAAGTCAAAGGCTTACTTGTGGACATATCGAACAAATACTTTTAAAATTTTAAAGAAACAATGCGCGATGACAAAATGTGCACATACAACGGGGCAGTTTAAAATAAACTAAGCAAGGGTAACGCAGTCCTATTGCACATTACGACAGCTAGGATCACGTGCACCAATCGCAGCAATATCGCTCGCCAGAGGATGCAATGATGCCGCATCTATCGTAACAGAGTGGCACGCGTGCCGCGGGTTGGCCATCCCTGGTCTAAAATTTGGAGGGCTTGAAATTCATGTAATTTTTCAGGCAAAAATCATCAAGTTTGAATAAATCCAAATATAGATTAACATAATCATTCATAAATGAGTTAAAAAAAAAGATCATCAGCAAAACACAAGAATTTAGAAAACTATAAACAAATGTTGATGTCACTTTTGAAAATATGAAACAACAGGATCCCTAAGTAAGAGCATTGAGCCTCACTCGAAAATCCATTTACAATCTGAGATTTATAAGTCAAATAGTCAATCCATAGCCATACCCACCTTTTCCAGTTTATTCAACAAAAACAGGTGGTTTACCCTATCAAATATCAACTGCAAAAAATGTGACAGGCATTCAGTGTAAATCATAAAATTGAGTTTAAGTGATTTTTCAATTTGAAATTCAAAATAATGGGGAGTTATTAGCTTTTCCATTACTGATGTAATATGTGTTACTATACATGCAAATCTGTATTGTACTGTACATCATTATCATCATCATCATTATCATTATCAATCAGTCCTGAGTTGTCCATTGTTGAACATAGGCCTCCCCTAGATTTTTCCATCTGCTTCTGTTCTGCGCCTCTGCTATCCAATTGGTAACAATTATTTTGAGGTCGTCGGTCCATCGTGTTGGGGGTCTTCCTCGGCTTCGCTTGTCAGCCCATGGTCTCCACTCAAGCAAATATGTAATTGACTATTGAAGATACTGCAATTGAGAGTGTTAATAACTATAAATACTTAGGAACATGGATAACATCAGATGTAGACCAAACCAAAGAAATTAAGACACATATTGAAATAGCATGTGCATTATTCATTAAACTAAAAAAGTTTCTTTGTTGTCAGGATATAAGGTTAGAACTATGCCTGAGAATGCTTCGATCTTACATGTTCTCTACTCTTCTTTATGGCTTGGAAGTGTGGACACTAAAAGAAGTCCATCTGAATATGTTGGCCGCCTTTGAATTTTGGTGTTACAGAAGAATCCTACGAATATCATGGATTCAAAGAATGTCAAACATGGAAGTAACTAGAAGGATAGGAAATGAGGCAGAAATAATATTAACTATCAAAAGACGAAAACTTGAGTACTTAGGACATGTGATGAGAGGGCAAAAATATGCATTATTACATCTTATTATGCAAGGCAAAATCCGGGAATATCCTGGCTTAAGAACTTAAGGGAATGGTTTGAATGCAGTAGTGCAGAACTTTTTAGAGCGGCAGTCAACAGAGTCTGCATAGCCATGATGATTTCCAACCTTCAATAGAAGATGGAACTTAAAAAAGAAGAATGTGATACTGTTTGTTCACATATCTGAAGAATTACATTTTGTAAATTTGTCTTTAATCAGTAACATCAATCCTATTTTTACCCTTATATGTGTATGAGTTAAATAGCTAATTTTCCAAATATTATAAAAAAAACTTAATTTCAATGAAATTGAAGTATATAATAGATGAGACAATATTGCAAGACATTAAGATGTTGTGTAGGTATACTAGCTATACCTAGACCCTTTTTGATATCCAACATACAATTCTCATTGTATACTAAAGAAATATTTATGTGAAAATTATCAGCTATGTAGTGGAAAAATTCAGCTGAGAATATTCAAATATGAGATGACTTTTTGGAACAAATTCTTATTTTATAACATTTCTGATAGTAAATGATGTTCTCAAACAGGACAATCTTACTGTCAAAATTATACAAGAATACATCATTAAAGAAATATACAATATAAAAAATACAAATAAAAATAAAATATACATGAGTTAAACAAATCTCTCTTATGAAGTAACTGATTAGTATGCTTGAAAATTCAGACCATACCTATACTTGAACCATAATTGGACGGTGTTTTGCAACAACCGTCTAACCCACATTTGTTTACAAATAAGGTTAGACGTGCCAAATTGTCGATCATAATGCATACTACATCAAGCAAAAATGATATAAGCCATATTTATACTCATGAATGCGTTTGTGAACTAAGTTCTAAACCACTTTCGTCAAATAATATGAAAACAGAAATTTGTAAAAATAGTCTAACCCATGTTTTCATTATAAGTATGTGGGTTAGACTTTTGTTGCAAATCTTTGTAAGGGTCTTTTCATTGTGTGCACCAGATGCAAAATATTAAATTAATAAACAAATATTTATTTTGACTTAGACTCGTCTTATTAAAAGACAAGAAATTTATTATTACACTTATTACGGTACACAGATAGTGTACCGAAAAGGTAACATAATATGTTTTGCGATTACTCGTATATTGATGTCATAAATGCCGACAAAAAATTGCATTATCATATAACGAACATATTGGAACTGTTGCTTGATTGTGAAAATTCTGGTCAGCAAATTATTACATGCCTTTTTAACAAAGGAGTTTGATATTTCAACATACTGTTTTAAACTTTACGAGTGCAGTAGGTTGTTATTATTTGGGTGTAATATTTTAAAGCAAAATAACACAAACTTGGTGTTCTTACTTCAGTGACTATAATTTTTATTATTCGAGGTACGTATAAACTTATTTTGACTTAAAATTTCACAGTAGATATAAATTTTTATTTATTAAAACCTTTTATTTAATATTAACAGCAAACGGCAGTTAAACTAATTTGGATGTATGATAGCTGCTCATATTATAATACTTGCACATACAGAAATGTAAATATATCAAGTTTAACATTAGCTACGTTAGTCGTATAGTCGGGTTAGATCTTTTTTGCTAACTGCACTATAACACAAAATTTATTTTTTATTGCATTTGTAAAAAATGTTTTATAAATGTAACATTTTTACTTCGTAATAACATATTAAAACTGGATGTTTTAAGTGAGTGCCTAATACTCTAATTTTATTTTAGACGATGGATATTTCAAGAGGAAAGCTATTAGCGAACCTGGGAATTCAAAAATTTCAACAAACTTTGACCCCTGATCCTCGAGAACAAGAAACAAGTAGTTCCTGCAGCACTCAGAAAAATATATCTGCTGAAATGGATTTTTATGAGCCATACCAGTCCTCTGGCAGTGAATATTTTCCTGAATCCGAGGAAACTGATTCTGCAGAAGAAACGAAGACCGAGATATGGAAATCTATTTAAATATAACAAAAAATGATGGCAGAAAGAAACGCGGAAGATCAAGGAAAACACTAAATCAATCAAGACCAGACAGAAAAAAGTTTGCAAATTGTAACCAAAAATATGTTTCGGCAAGAAACAAAACTGTATTACCTAAAAAGTTTACTGAAGATTACTCTTGTCCATGTTCAAGAAAATGTCACAATATTGTAAATGTTGAAACGAGAAGAAGATTTTTTGACCAATTTTGGAGTATAGGAACATTTGAAGGGCGCTGTGCTTTACTTAGCAAATATGTTGAAGAGAGCAAAAAGAAAAGATGATACACAAAAAACCAAACATCAAGAAGAAGTAAGTCAAGAAAATACTTTATAGATGGCAATCTCGTTTGCAAAGAAACCTTTTTAAATACACTTCAGATCAGCCATAATAGAGTCCGCGTAGCCTTAGATCAAATAAAAAGTAATATTATTAAAGATAAAAGGGGTATACATAGTGGTGGAAAAAATGCAATTGATGAAGAAAGAATTGAAAATATTAAGATGCACATAGCGTCATTTCCAACATATGTGTCACATTATTGTCGCAATCAGACGGACTCCAAATTTTTAAATCCTGACCTGAATTTATCAAAAATGTATCAGTTCTACACAGACACTACAGAAAACCCAGTGAGTCTTACGAAGTATAAAAGCGTCTTTTATTCAAATTTTAATTTAAAGTTTAAGACACCACATAAGGATACATGTCGAATGTGTGATACGTACAAAGCCCAAATTAGTTCTGCACAGGCTACACACAAGGAGAATTTAGAAAGAAATCACAGGGAACATCTTGAAATTGCAAATGAGTTAAGGAGTGAAATGAAGGCTGATCTAATATGCGCGCAAGAAGATGAAACACTGGAGACCCTGACATTTGATCTCCAAAAAACTCATCCTTTAGCAAAAATACCGACTGGAGTTGCATATTATAAAAGACAATTAAATTTACTTAATTTAGGTATTTATGTCGGCAGTACAAAAAGAGATATTTTCAATGTATGGACAGAGCAAGAGGCAGGCAGGGGAACACAAGAAGTCGGTTCATGTCTGCGTAAATATATTAATGAAAATATAAAGGCACCCGTAAAGAAATTAATTCTATGGTGTGATTCTTGTGGGGGGCAGAATAGAAGTATTAAGCTAGTGTTAATGCTTATTCACATACTTCAAAACCATACGTCTCTTGAATCCATTTCGTTAAAATTTTTACTTTCTGGCCACAGTTTCCTGCCTAATGATTCACATTTCGGAGATGTCGAATGCGCTCTTAAAACTCATCAAAGACTGTACACTGACAACGATTACATAGAAATAATGAGATCTTGCCGAGTAAAAAATAAATTTGTTGTAAACCGTCTAAGATCTGAAGAAATGGTTTCAGTTAGTCTTTTGCTACAATCCATAACAAATCGCAAAACAGATACAAATAAGAATGTTATTAATTGGCTAAAAACACATGTAATACATATTACAAAGGAAAATCCCACAATTTTGTATATGAAAAAACATGTGAGAGATCAACAATTTTCGGAGGTAAATATTGAAAAATCAAGTAAAGGTCGAAAACCTGTTTTAAAGAATGTAGAGTTGCCTCCCTTGTGGCCAAATGGCAAATCACTGTCCGCTGAAAAAATTAAGGACCTTAAAGATTTGTCTAAGTTAATTCCCCAAGATGCCATGCCTTTTTATGGATTTTTGGACAACATCAGCTATGAAAATTTTGAAGAAGATTTGGAAGGAATTGGGTTAAATCCCGATTTCGAGATTGACCAAGATCAAATCGAGTAGAAATTAAACAGTAACAGGTACTTACTATTTGTAATGAACTCGGTTTCGAAGTTTTTTCTGTGTATTTATTATTTTGGAGGGTAGACGGTTATTGCAAAATGACGAACTTATATTTTTACCATTTTGCAAAAACCGTCTAAGCCGCTTTAAGTTATTTTTGCAAAAAACTGTTATTACTTATTTTGCTTTTGTACGTTTTTTAAGGTAGCCTGTAATTATTGAAATATAAAAATGTGAAAATAAAGCCTTATTTTCTATCAGTTAATTTTTTAAATTAGGTAGATACATTATGCTCATTTACTCGAAACCATATATATGTGGCTTAGACTATTATTGCAGAACACTCTCCAATTAGTCCTGCTATGAGGAACATGGAAAAGTGAATTCTGAGGCAGTGAACAGGAAGGAATATGAAAACAAATTAGCTGAAGAAATTCAGGAAAATGGATTATTCCATTAACAAGCTAAAAAACAAAGATCAAGTCAAAGTTAAGTCTTCTAGCGAAAAGAGAATCCAGATTCAAGAAATTGATCATACTAGAAAAAGAATATGGTCTACACAATTTAAAAGAACAATACATCTGGAATATTCTTGAACCATATATCTTGTTATATTGTTTTCAGATCCAGGCTTTTTTCAGGTGCTTTTTGACACTCCCACAGCTGGCTATGTACTGAAGTAATTTCTAGAAAGTAATTTCTAGTGCTAGAATGAATTTAACTGTTTCTGGGGTTTGAATTCAGACAATGGTACTCCAGTAAAACATAAATCTTTAACACTGAATAGATTAGTAATTATCAAAAATGTGCCACTGTACTATGAAAATGATAGTAACTTAGTGATCTTTTTCTAAAAGCCTTATGTTAAAAACCAGTTGTACTGCAGTCAATTATAAAAATTTTTATTGTATGATATAACTACTCTTCAAATAGCCCCATAAAATCATATTTTTTAAAATTGTACTATTGTATACTTTTTTATACAGATTTTATAACATTAATTTTTTGTGACTGATATTTTCTTGATCTTTATTAAGTATTATAATCTGTATTCTAATAATTAAAGAGTTTTTTATGCATGAAAGTAAATTGTACTTTCTTTATTTAGAAGTGGAATTTACATGTATTAATATTATTGCAGATTCACAAATTTCTTTTATGTAAAAAATTCAGATATATTCAATTCATTTATTTAAATCTATAAAACTTACTTGTAAGTGGTATAGGCTGCCAGGTTCATACTTTGGGAGAAAAGAAATATCACTTGCCAGTGAAGATACTGAACTTCTTCTTGGTCTTTCTTGAGGAGACATTAACTGTACACTTGAAAAGCCATGAGTGTTACTATCAACAGATGTATTTGTATCTAAAATATATACATATAAAAGTTACATAGGTATGTTTCAATATATCACCTTCTGCCATGTTCTTTTTAAGTGACTCCTCTAAGGTTTAAAGCAAATTACTGTATATTAAGTACTTCAGTTACTACAACTGCACCCCCTTAGGTATGAAGTTTTCATCTCTGAATACAATTACTTGGATTATATATTGAGTACTTATTATGTCCAACGGGCTTTATTCATTAAGTAATAAGGGTAAAGGTGGCAAACATTTGAATAGCACTCATGTAAGTCACTCATAAATGACAATGTCCCATCCCGTAAAACATTTTATTACAACTGAATCAAAACTTAGAGAACTACGATCTTATAGTTTGCTTTATTAAAAAATACATTACCATCTTCTCCTATCGAGAAAAAATTGTCATCAGAAGTTGAACTGTTTTGTAACCTATCACTAACAGATTGCGTGAATTCGACAAATCTTTGAGGAGAAATTTTCACCTCTTCGGTAATTTTTTCTTTGAGTTTTTTAAACATTTTATCTGGTTAAATAAACTATTTTATCAAAATAAACATTACACCCTTTTTCCTAACCTAAAAATGACGTGTCAAAATGACAGTGAAATTTATAGTGACGTCAAACTCCTTATGTCAAACTCAATAAGGGAAAATAAGTGGCTGTATATCGTATTATAAGCACGAATAACCAGTTTTGTTTAATGATAGATAAATGCTGTGGATGACATATGACATGTGACAGTCTAACCCTAACCTTAAAATTCTTTTTAAAATCAAAAATGGACTTCAAATATTTAAAGACTGAAATAACTAGAGAAGTAGCATGTTTAGTTTTTCTTTAGGTTGACTGTAATAAATTAAGCTCTAAAATCAAAAGTGAAAATGAAAACTAAGCCGGGATACCTATCTACAGCGTCATTTAAGAAAGAGGTAAAATTATTTTTGATATATTGTATGTATATGGCCCATTTTTATTCATTTATATACTATATTACTGTTGGTGTGTTCTTGAATAGGCATTAGTGAAATTTATAAATTAATTGATTTTAACTGCATATTATTAAGTAGTGAAAAGTGTCAAGGTTAAAATTTATTGACTAGATTTTAATTTATATGATTAAATTTAAGTAGTTAATTTGTTAGTAGTTATTTTGTTAGCTGCTGAAGTAATTATTTATGATTTAGTGCGTACGTATCTTCCTGTTATATACAAACTATAGAATGTGTATGTAATGCAGTTAATAGTAATTTGAAGTGTTGAAATAATTTTTAATTATGCCCTAATATATATATTTTTTTAAATTGAAGGAACTGAGTTGGAAGCTATCCATATTATTTTTAGAGTGTCTTCCATTAGTATTATTCCTTTTATATAAAATTACCAAATGCAATTTTGAATCAAATAACAATATTTTTGCTTCTTTCTCTATAAAGACCCTGGATATACTATGAAATCCTATTATGATATTAGTTATACACTATTAGTCTATTTCCATACATATTACCTTTGAACCAAATAACCAATTAATATGGATTAGCTTGGATTTCAATTATGTTAATAAAATAATTTTTAAGTACTATGGAAAATTGTTAGTGGAATCTACAGAGCTACCATTTTATTTCTATTTTTACATCTATAAATTAACAGGGATACTTATAAAATTTTTGAATTTTGTTCCAAGCTTATGAAACTAATGTATGTTATTTTTCAACAAACTTCAATAACAATGTAAATATTTACTTATGTCATGTGAATTAAGTGATACTTGCTACATTAATAGGTAGTTTAATCTATTATCTTATGACCAATCTCTCATATTTCTATAAATACTACTAATCAATTGTTTTTAATTTTATTTGTGGTGACCTTTTGGTTCTAGTCTAAAAATATTTTGTGAATATGATAAAATATTTTCAGTGATTTATAGCATTGAGATTTTTTCTGATCCCTTGTAGTAAAATCCATGTAACTCAAATACAGGATGGAATAACATTAAAGTGAAGTTTTTTTTAATGAGGCATATAAAATTAAATTATTAAAAGAATGTTTTGTATTGCCAAAGGGATGTTCAAGTATTATGTAAGCAGATTTATTACAATTATTTACCCTCAAATCCTCCATCAGGAAAAGAGAGCAAAGTGTTTTCCCCCCATATTATGTAAACATTGTTATATGCATTTTTCTTTGAATGTATTCCGTTTTTCTTTATTGATTCATGAGCAGCATTTATAATCATAGAAATAAGAAAATAAATTTATGTAGAGGACTTCAACGTACATAATATTTACTTAACAAACTTTTTTAAAACTGTATTCAACATAGAGTAGGGTACAAATATTATAATCTTTGCACTTCCTGATCGAGACGGCCACTCAGTAGTTTACATTCTTTATATATTGAAGTGGTTGAACCGCTTTTCGTTTGTCGGCAGTTTGTTTATATTCGTTTTATCGAAGTAGTGGATTTTTTTTTGTAAAACTTCAAAAAAAACGGTATTCAGAAAGTATGGTGCTAGGGTAGGTAATTTGCTGCCTTGTATGTATGGCATGAGTATGGTGTATTTGTAGATCGTGACATACATGAACAATACTAGTAAGCAAGATGGACAATGTAGAACATACTATTACAATTAAAGCTCTTCAAAGATGTAAATACTGTAATAATACAGTGCTTGCTCACTAAAGCTGCAAATGAAAATCATACTCTTACGGCAACAGTATCCAAAGGGTTAACAGTCTTCAGTCCATGAAACCTGAATCCATGATTTTAAGTCTTCTATGAAATTAGATGTTTGCTGTTCAATGTTGTGTGGCTGTTCACTTTCATCCAATTTTAGAATGTCTTATGCACATCAGTTCATTAGCACAATGAGCAGCGACTGTTATAGGCCTAACTTTCATATCAGTATGAGTGTTTTTTATGGATCTTTTTATGGATGTAGCTACTTGACTGAAATGTGATAAGGAGGATTTGAATTTACAGAAAATCTTTAAGTGAAGAATTTAAGCGTAGAGCTACATTGATTGAAAGATTGATAAATTGCCCTTCATCATCCAAAACCAAGTCATCAGCTGTTTGTTTTACTTTTACTTGAGTAGGAAGAAACCTGTTGTCTAGTAATCTAAATAATCCACTTCTTGGATGACAGCTTTCTGTTTCTACATTTTACTATTTGAAGCAAGTATTGGCTTTCATGCACATGTTCTGAATACCATTTAATTTCTTAGAAATCAGGAAGATCTTGTTCGCTCAGCCCAAAATATTTTGCAGTAACATTATAGCCATAAATTTCCATTGAACTCCATTCTTCAGCTATCACATTTCCTGGAAACTTGAAACTGGATCTTTAAATGTTCATTACTTATAATGCCACATTAATATATATTTGTTTAATTCAAATATTAATATAATGTGTGTGTGGCAATATGTGTAAAAAAGTGAATAACTACTGCTGATGTAATCACCATCTATACCACCCTCCCCATGCCATTAAAAATAAGTAAAGCAAAGATCTCCTCTCCTTTATAGTGCTTATGTAATACTAAAAGAGTCCCAATGAAGAAAACAAAATAAATAAAATAATCTTTATTGTTTATAACAACCATGTGAAAAATGTTCATACGAAGATGAGAAGAACAGCTAAGCATATTTTATTATCCATTACAAGATAAACAAATAATATAATTACACCAAGCTTATAAAATATATAATAAAACCATTCAGAAATTAAATCTATGTAGGCTTACTGGCAGTATATTTTTGAAACAAGTGTATTGTGTAATTTAAAAAGATTAACTGAAAAATATAAGTAATTTATGCAATATTTAAACAATTAACTTTGGATGTAACTAACATGCATATAATTTAAATTTAACTATTATAACATGCTCACTTTAAAAAGAGCTCTACAAAATTTTCTGGTACTAAAAACTATACTGAAAATTTTTTATACTAAAATTATAATGTACAGTTTGCATTATAGATTATGACAATATATTATTTACATTATTGGGTGATATTCTGGTAGACTCCAAAACTATCTGTTTAATTAAATTCAAAATATTACAGAATTACAATCTATAGATATATAATTAAAATTTTTCATATTAATATCACCAGCAAACACTAAGATATCACAACAATTTCAAATCTATCCATATATTGCTGTTCTGATATTACTGTTACAAGTATTAAATTATTAAGTTTTTAAATGATATATAACCTAGTTATTTGGATGTAATACTACAATCCTTCAAGTTTTGTATGCAAACGCACATCTAAAGGTAGATATAAGTTAGTTATTCTTCCTTCAATATTTTTATTTTTCTTTTTTGTTTGTTCAAATAATAATTTTGCTTAAAGAGCTCCTTTTTAAGACTTTACTTAAACCATAGTTTACATAATGGAAATTAAATGTAGGGCTTTATAGGTAATGGATTTTAACAAGAGCTGTGATCTTGCAAATAACAGGTAAACTTGTGTACTGAATGGGCATGACTCATAGCTCTTATCAAAATCCATTACTTCTACATAAGCTCCCAGAAAAACAAAATCATGAAATTTACCAGAAGGGATTAGGTCTAAACCTGAATGATACAAATCTAAATCTGATAAGTGAAGTGATGATAACATCTCAGGGTGTAGGAGCCGGTATAGTAGAGACAAAGCAAGGGATACATTTCCTGATAACTCTATCTAAGGATGTCACAAATTTCCAGGAGAAAATAACGGCATAGAACATTTCGCCAAAATTTACAGCAGGCCTAATAAGCAAAGATAGGAATATGTTGAAGCCATAGTAGGTCTGTTAACAGGGCATTGTAAACTGAATAATCAGTTGAAGCTGATGGGATTAACAGATGACGATCTATGCAGATTCTGTCGTTTAGAGAAAAAAACAGCAGAACACATTTTGTGTCAGTGCGATATGCAATAGCCTGCCAAATGTGAGGTTCTTTACATCAGGTGAAGAAAAGCCACCAGCAAAAAGCTACAAGGAAGGTTCAGTCTTGAAGCTATTAGACCTTTTTAAAAGGGTCAGACTAGAGAATGTAATCTAGTATTAGAGGACCACAATATATCTGAAAGGTCGCAGTGGAATAGGCCAAATACCACCTCATAAAATCTATCTGTGGTTATGCTTGTTCTCCATTTCTCTAGTATGATACCATATCATACTATTTTTTGAAATATCTGTGACAATCTCTGGGCTACTGTAATTAATAAGGTCATTATTTATACAATTAGTTTCTGGCGATTTTCTGTTTTTATTTTCTTGATTGCTATTTTTACCTCTTCACTAGTTATATTTTCGTCATTTCAATATCTTCGTCAATATCTCAGTCTTTGATGTTTGTGTTGGTGTCATTGTACAGATTATTGAAGTTTTCAGGTTTTAATTGGATAGATCATTTTAACTTTTACAAGAGACCTAGTATATCAAATGATTTTTCTATATCAAAAAGTAATAATTAATTTGTATTGGGAATTAGACTGGAAATACTTTTCAAAATACGGGCTTTGAAATTAAGTAAATTATTTTGTTTTTGTTAGGTGGCAAACAAAATTTGTTACTAATTTAATTGTGTGTGTGTTTCACTTACAAGTTCAGACATGGTATATGCAGTGGCTCGCAGCTTAAATGATGCAGTCACTCTTAAGTAAAACTAGCTGGTGTCAGCAGCTCACTATTTACTAGACAAAAAAATTACATACTGAAATTAAATTACTATAAGCCTGAAATTTGCGAAGTAAGTGTTGCATTAAATTCATACTCAGTTATTTTTATGTTCAATTTGACATTTCAAAGTATTTAATCGGCAAATTAATATTTAAATGTTTTAGGAATGGGTCATTGAACTATGATTAGTGAAAGAAATTTAATTTTATTCACCATAGAAATGGATAGAGTCAAAGAGCCATATCCAAA